TGAAACAGGGGTGAATGTACAAAAAATATCTTTAATTTGTCTCTGGCCACTGAAGACAGAAAGACAGACACAGATAAGATGCAAAATGGATGCATTTTCAAAGATTATCAGACAGACAAGTTGCTAGAGTTACAGACAGACAAGCAGGCAAACAGATACAGACGGGCAGACAGACAGAAGCAGACACAGTAGTCAGATGCCTTAAACGCCGTTAAATTTCCTGTCATTACGTAAAGCACATAGCTAAAATCAGACTGTAGCCCACTTTGGTCCAGAGATTTCCACCAGTATATAAAGATCTGCTGTACCAACTAATTATCCCCAGCAGAGGTTCAACAGCCGAGGCTTTCACTCCATTTCCAAGCACACATTTATTACTCCTAGTTATACCAGTGTTTTACCTTCAGGCCAGGTAATGTCTTGAAATAGGCAATTTGTTCAACCTGAAGTGTATATTAGAGTGGGCAGGTAACTGCTTTGAAGACTAATAAGATCAAAGAAGTACCTGTCTACACGTGGTGGTGGCGGGGATGTTTTATTGATAGAAGGTGGGAGGTGCCGCTGCTCCTGTGCCACTGGTAGAAACTAAAAAGAATTCTTTAAAAAGTTGCTTAAAATGCTGATAGGAGAAAGCAATAAAATTGCATATATATAATTCATTAAAATTATTTAAATTCAGAAGAGAGATTAAAAGAGGAATGCTGTAAGAATTTTTAATGCCAAAGTCTTTTTTGAAGTAAAGTGGATAAGAATTTTACATTAAAAATAACGTGTAATTTCTCTTGCAAATTTTTGTTGAGTCGTTTGTGTGTATAGTAATGGACAATTGAATCAGTGGCTATAGATTTGTGCTATGTACCAGTTATGTTTTTATTCCAAAAAAAATCTGGCAATTTGCAAACAAATCACTTATGACAACTGCTCAAAAATTTCAGAACCACCTACGCCATATTTTCATTTGTATGCAATATCATCATTTCTGTTAATTAACTAAAACAATAGCTTTCAGACTTAATCTAGGCTCTTTTAGTATTTCCTAATCAAAATGTTATGAATTACAGACAAAACATATTTTTAGGAATATTGCTCATTAGTTTTGTTCAAATTTAGAGAGAAACAACTGGATTTCATTTGATTAATAGCCACACAAGTGCTTTAAGTGCGTGACTCAATATTTAGTTATCGCGAAAAGTGCTTTAAAGGAGTGCACTAAAAAAAGTAACACCTCCTTAATATTACCTTGATTGTGATTTGAGTGCTTCAAGATTTCAAGAGTTTTCTTTGGGGCTGCCATAAAGCACTCTCCTCATCTCTGAGTTGGTATTAAATAGGATGTTGATTTTTATGTACAGACACAGATGTGTCTGTACATATAGCCGTCATCTGCGTCTGTCGTCGCCGTCGCTGTCGCCGGGGCCGTCGCCGTTGGCGTGCACTTTAACCGTAAACACGATAAGTCAAAAACCGTTTTACCTTTTGGCTTGAAAGTTACAGAACTGATGAATATTCATAATACGCCNTTTTGGCTTGAAAGTTACAGAACTGATGAATATTCATAATACGCCGGTCAAGTTCGAAAATCAGCATGATCGGGCTATTTGTAGGGAAGTTATGCTTTTTTTTCACTTTTTTCAGCATATATGCAACACCGTAAACACGATAAGTGGAAAACAGTTTGACCTTTTGGTTTGAAACTTACAGAACTGATGAATATTTATAATACGCAGGTCAAGTTCGAAAAGCAGCATGATCGGGTCATTTTTAGGGAAGTTATGCTTTTTTTTCACTTTTTTCAGCATATATGCAACACCGTAAACACGATAAGTGGAAAACGGTTTTACCTTTTGGTTTGAAATTTACAGAACTGATGAGTAAATATAATACACAGGTCAAGTTCGAAAATCAGCATCAAACTTTTATGGAAGTTATGCTGTTTTTTTCATTTTTTTCAGCTTATATGCAACACTGATAACACAATATAAGAAAAACAGATGGGCCAATTGTCATTGTACTCACAGGAGTGGTCAATCTTACTAAAACATAGCTTGAGTATGAAAATCAGCATAATCGGGCCATTATTTTAGAAGTTATGCTGTTTTTTCACATTTCCTCAGATTCAATTCTTAGGCATGTTAATAGTCTCATTATTGAACTAATAAGATACGTAAAAGTACTGTATGACATTTCCTGCATCTTTACAACATTGTCAGTTGATTATGTAAAAATGATGGTAAATTTGTTATCGTGTATTGTGTAATGAAGTGTCAAAAATGGAAATAAACACATATCATTGCAGTTTGTCAGATTCAATCATCCACTATGTTCAGAATCTCAGAATGGAGGATATTGGACATTTAACACTGTTCTATTGATATTTTTCCCATCTCATCAATTTTCTTAGTTGGTCATATAAAAANGACCATAAAAATGGGGGATGGATCAACATAGATACTTTGGAATACTGTCAGAAAATATCTCTGGGTTCGCTCCTGTTATTGACCATGGTACCTGTTGTGCATGATTAGAATTCAGTGTTGACTGACAGTGCTATTATAAGCATTATTTATTATTGCATCAAAATTGACAAAATGACCTATTTTGCATCTTTATTTTCTGTTTTTTGTCTGTACATTTGACAGCTTTGCTGCCTTGTTCATTTATCCCATAGCCCATTGTCCGCAAATTACCCATCAACATGTGCAGTTTTAATTATTATTAAAAAGAGTTAAGAGGTAATGATTTAGTATACCGTATACTAGTAGTCATACCCACTAGTACTCAGGTGTATATTCGGAGGGAAATGAGGAGTTATATAATGGCAGATGTTTGTACAAGTGTAAATATCTCAACAGAATATTGAAATGTGGATGATTTCCTGGATTTCAGCTCCTCACTCCCCACCTCAGGGACTAGCTTAGGCAGCCAAGTTCATTCTCAGGAGCTTTATCAACTGTCGCAGTATCTACAGGTATGTCATTTTTCAAGTATCACATGAAACGCACACATGCATGCATGCGCACATGCACACATGTACGCACACACACACGCACAGGCACACATGTGCCAAACTGACTCCATTACCTGTATACACGGAGTTGTTTTAACACAAAATGTACTTGGTATTGGAGTCACTCCCGTACGATATTGTTGTAGGGGAATGCTTGATGTTTCACAGAATCATATTGAAATATATGAAAACTGGGGAAATGTTTGCCCTTTGTTAGGCTTCATTCACATGCAATGTCTATTTTCTAAATTCTATTTTCTGTTCACGGTATGTCTTATGATCACGGTCTGTGCCCTGAATATCCCGCGGCGTAATTACTGGCAGCGCGAGCCAGTTACTATAAGTTACTAAAAGTAACTGGCTTGCGCTGCCAGTAATTACGCGGCGGCATATTCAGGGCACAGACCGTGATCATAAGATAGCGCGAATAGAAAATAGATTTTTAGAAAATAGACATTCCATGTGAAGGAAGCCTTAATTTCAAATTTTCTGCCAGTGAATTTCCTGAAGCATTTGGCAAAAGTTTTCTATAAAGGTGTAAGCCTAGAGGTAGGTTCAGAATATTGGAAGGGGTGGTTGAAGAGTTATGTTGTATTTAACCTTTTAAGTTTTTTTAATAGCCTGTACTAATGTCTTAAAGGGATGTGACTTCACTTTCAAGTTGAACCTGCTGAAAAATTGTAATTTTCCTGATGTGTGAATACAAAGGGTGCATAGAGCAACTGACTTGGATTAAATATGAAATACTGTACAGTAATTATTTTATAACAAAAATTTATAACAATGGCTTCTCCTTTATGGCCATAGTTGCTCTAGTGGACTTCTGAAGATTTATTTTGAAGTGATAAATTGTGTAACACTTTGATATGGAATATCTGCCTGATTTGCTTGATTTGTATCCAGTGCAGTTTTTAATTTGAAACTGGTCTGAATGCTACTAAAGCTGAGTAAGAGAAGTTTCCATACTGACTTCTACTACTACTGTACTGCTACTACTGTTTGTCTAATGCCACTAGTGGCGTGAATCAGAAAGTCCAAATTAACACACACATCTGTGTGTGTTTATATTAATATGTTGGTGCAACAAATTTAGAACCACTTTCGGATATTTACGGCTTCACCTGTCACTCTTACGTGTTATCTTACTCCATTTACAAACATTGTGCCCATTACTGCTTCTGTACAATTACGTATGGAAGTCGCTGATATGTCTGAAGGTGAATTTACAGTCATTTTGTGATAGTTTAACTTAGTTCTGTACTTAGATAGTGTGGAAACAAGTTGAGATGTCTCAGCTAGAGTGTGAATGCACGAGTGAAAGAGCACTGCATCTATTTATAGATATTAATTTGTGGCACCAAGTAATGGAACGCCCTTTTTTCTGAACCATAAGGGTTCTAAATCTGAAAGCAACTAACTCTTACTGTGAATCTAAGGGCATATATTCATTGAATTTTATGGGAATTGTTCGCCTCTTAAGGACTTCCTCTTTTCACACTAAACTGCAGAAAAATAAGTTAACACTTCACTAAGGAATAAGGACTCTTTTTACTTCTTTAGTAGGGAGCTGTACCATTGAGAGTTTTTTTCATATATATATCAATTTCCACTACTTTAGACAGTTTTGCAGTAATTTTGTATTGTGCCAGTTTGTATTTGATTTGGGGACTCCTCACTTGCTTAAACAACCAAGCAAAGAAAAAATTTTATAATTCCACAATCCTCTGATAGGAAGTGTCTTCTATGCATGCTTCTTTATCATATAAAAACTGATTGATTTATATGTTATTTTAGTTAGATATTTGTCTGCTAATTAATGCATAATTAAATTGTCTATTTAGGAAGCACTGCATCGAGAGCAGATGTTGGAGAACAAGCTGGCCACACTCCAGAGGCTGGTCTCCAGTACACAAGAGGCCTCTGAGTCTGGATGGCAGGTAGGGACCGTTTATTATTATTATTATTATTATTATTATTATTATTATTATTATTATTATTATTATTATTATTATCGCCACCATCAATTAAGATAATAATTTTATTTGAATGTTGAATGTTGGGCCAAAACTTCAATTTTACTTAAAGATTTTTTTTATTAAAATGATTGAGTGATTTTGTCTTAAAAATGTAAAAATTCATGTAGAATTTAGTAATGTCAAAAAGTTTATGAGGGGTGGTTGGCATATAGATGAGATGATAAACACAGTTGAAAAAAATCCATATCTTGACTCTCATTGTGATAAATATTGTAGGTTCAGGTTAAGATATGAAAAAATTATGTATATTAACCCTTTGTCTTGAAATATTTGGAGGGTAAATATCATTATGTTATGTTGTATTCTTATATTTCAGGCCCTAATAGATGAAGATAGGTTGCTGTCCAGGTTAGAGTGCTTAGAAAACCAACTTCATATTTATGGCAAGGTAAGGTGGACTGTTAGTTCTAGTTTGCCTGTTGCAAAAACTTTTTAACTTAAAAAGCATTGTCGATCTTTTTGAAAAAGTTTTTATATAGATGTATCTTTTTATTTCTTTTAATGTGAACACAGCTGAAAAAAGTGGATGTGATGTAACTCACTCACAAACAAAAATTACACCTATAATGCTTATTTATGTTATTATATATACTCTCCAGTAGTTAAAAACTGTGCCAAAAGGTGTCAGCACATGATAGCAAGGTGAATATTCCTGTATAGATGGCAGCACAAGGATGGCTCAAGTTAATATCAGTGCAAAGATAATACAGTGTAATATTATATAATTTTCTAGAACCACACAGAAGAGTCCTTGCGCCAGGAGTTGGTGGCACTGCAGGAAGATAAGAGCGTCTACGAAACCACCGCTAAGGTACGAGAGAATGATAAATATTACATTGTATTTATGCATTTTGAGAGCAATTTAGTGATTGTTACATCTTATTTTTGTGAGGTGACTTATTATTTTAACTCTTATATTAGTGTGGCAATCTGGTAACCTTGAACAAAACAGATAAATATATCCTGTTAAATTAGTACAGGTAATGGAATATTTTTTCATGATTTGCATACTCAACATAAGATATTTCCTAAACTATATGTGTAAAAATTCCGTTGAGTATGTGAATACATGCAATTTACACCTAAACATTTCTGTTTGAATATATGAGACTTATTTGTAAAAAAAGGCAAGGGATAATTATTTACCAGTCACGTTGATGTATGTATTAGCTATTTGCAAGGGAGTGAGAATGTATATATAATATCACTTAGAATAGTTCCTAATATCTCTGAATGCTATGAGGTAGACTGGATTTTGCCTGTAGCATATATACAGCCTTCTTCAGCATACCTGTTGTACATGGTTATATATAGGGCAAAGTTGATACTATGAAAACATTGAAGAGTATCGTATTTTAGGTTGAATATGTCTTTAAGGGAGAAAATTTCTGGGAAATAGCAAATCAGAGCTGAAAGTTAGATTCACACAGTGGAGAAAAAGTATTGAACCTAGGCTAGTTGCTTTTTGTTATGAATTTTATGCAAGTATGATTTTTGTGATTAAAACAATTAACTCTAAAAAAAAAAGAATAATATAACAATTATATGTGTGTATCTGTGTGTGTGTGTGTGTGTGTGTGTGTGTGTGTGTGTGTGTGTAAATTCAGTGCTGATATTTGCCAGGAAATAATTTTTTCTTATGAGCCAAATAAAGAAAAATATGTAAATAGATAGATAAACACAGCAGTTCTCAAATTTCAAAATTCCATTCAGTCACGAGAGCTACTATTGCAGAATTAGTCAAATCAAAGGCTCTGGTAGTGCAGTTATGTTTGTTACATAGTAACACAATTTTGTTTTTGTTGGCACCACAAGAAACTCAAACCTTTCTGCTCACCCTGTATGTTATATGTATCATGTTTTAAAGTAAAGGCACTCTGTTTTCCTGAGAAATCTCGGATAGATGTGTTAAGTTAGAAGTGTTAGACGGTCTTAGTTCTAACTAGGAATCTATGGTAATTTGTTGTATTGATAGCAGTCGGTTTCATGAACAGACTTGTTTTCCTGCTTCTGCAACAAAATAATTGCTGATTTTTAATGAACTAGATAAGTGAATATCGATAATGGAATCAAAGGTATTTTTTTTGGTATTATGCTTGCATATATTATAGCCATGGCAACCTAATTTACTCACTGTCATGATTTTAATTTCCTTTATACATAATTCTCCAAATTTCCTTTGTTTTGCAGGAATCTCTTAGGAAAGTATTGGAAGAAAAACTTGAAGCTGTGCGAAAGCTGTCAGATTTAGAGGTAAATGAGATTTTCAGAAGGTTCTAAAAACTAATTTGATTTTGATATTGTGCAAATGAAAACTAATCTTGTTCAACACCAGTAAAGGAAGTGTCTTTGGGTATTTCCAGAATTAGTATAGGAATACAAAGTATGAATATAATTAGTGTCTTTGTGTGTTTCTGACATACATATGTCAGTAACTAATATTATCAAAAAATCATAAAGAGTGTCTCCGTGCATTTCCAGCGATCATATAGCAATACAGAAGATGAGTGTAGCCACCTCCGGCAGTTGTGTGAGGGAGCCCAGACAGAGCTACAGGAGCTGGCAGAGAAACATGAGACTCAGCTCAAAGCTGTAGCTGAAGCAGAGCAAAAATTACAGGTGCGCTGAATGCTTGTTTTAAATTAAAAAGGAAAACAAAAATTAACATTATGCTTATTTTTGCTTCCAAATAGTATTTTGTTTTTATTCTGAAAAACACCAATTTAATAGAAATTTGAAAAGGGGTTAAAGTGTGTTGTTGTTAGCGGGTGAAGTTCATTTGTCTTGGTAAAAATGAGGCACTAGAGTAATGGGGGCATTTAAAATTTTGTGTATATTTACCTAATTTTAAATTATTCACATTTTCAAACAAAGTTTCTGATTTTTAAGGAGGCTGAGCTTACGCACAGTGAAGAGTTAGAAAAAGTTAGACAAGAAAAGACAGACCTGGAAGGCAAACTTGAGGACATGATCAACCAAGAAAATACTCTGTCTGCCAAAGTGGAGTCATTACAGGCAGATAATGATTTCACAAAAGAGCAACTGACTGCCATGAAAGGTAACATAGATGAATAAAGGCCTTTCTGTATATTATATAATATTATATCTGATATTAGTTCTGATATATATAACAATAAGTCACTATTTATGAATCATGTAAATATTTGAATGAACCATTCAGTCATATAATATTTTTCAGTGGCAAAATTACGTTTTAACACCGACACAAAGAAGTCTTGATTTTAAAAGATTATTTGATAAATTTTTATTTTGATACTGGCAGTTGACTGGTTGGATTAAAAAAAACATTTTAAAGTAAACTTGAAGAAAGGATTTTTTCCCATTTTTAACCTCTAAAAACAGGTGAAATTATATTTTTTTGTCTAATTATGTTATTCTTTTGAATATTTTTTAGCTCGCCTAGAGTCCCTTAAAGAGCAGAGCTCAGGGATAGACAAGGAAACTGACTCACAGAGTAAGTGTTATGAGAACAATATCCTGCAGCTCTACCTGTGTACACTTGTAAAATAATTGCAACACACTTAATTAGTAAGGATGATAGTCTAACATGCACATTGGTAATAATTTGGATGAAGACAAATTTTAAGTTGGTATTTGATAATAAAATAAAATATATAATTATTGGCATATCGTTCTAGACAAAGGTTACAACATGTACTTCTGTGTATTTAACAGCCTCATGTTTCCAATGTATGTGCATGGGTGCATGCATGCACACACACACACACACACACACACACACACACACACACACACACATGCGCACGCACGCACACACACACACACACACACACACACACCAAAGTAGTGAACATTATACTACATTCTTTACCCTCTTACATTGATCTTCAAAGAAAAAAAATCAAATGCCAAGCTAGTGCATGCCTGTAATTCGAGACATTCAGCCAGTAGTGATTTATGTATTAAAACCAGTGTCATGATTACTGCTGTGTTATGTATGGATATCCTGTGTAAAACTCTTCCTCTTATTTTCTCTCATAGGTGTACAGGTGGACATCATATCTATAGACAAGTTAGACAACGAAAGTCAGGAGAACAGTAAAGAACTGGAAGACCTGAAAAGTAAGATTTTTGCATGGGTCTCTTTTTATTCTGCTGTAGGAGGCTTGTGTGCGTGCGTGCGTGCATGCATACGTGTGTGTGTGTGTGTGTGTGTAGGCATGATGTATTTACTTTAAAATTTAAATTATGTGTGTGGCATAGTATGGGCATGTTTGTGTACAGTTGCGATTTTTTAAATTTAGTTTATGATCATGAACGAGTACTATTAATACTACAAGTCAATGCTGTATCTGCTTCTATGTACCAGTTGGCTGTTAACTTCTCTGTAATGTGGGTTAAACTTAGCAAATTGCAGAACATGTGTATATATGATATATAATAACATGCATGGCATGCCATAGAAAGCATAAAATTGATGAACAGAAATATGCCATACTGATAGATGCAATTAAAATTATATTAAATTAAAAAAATGATATATGAAAAATTACTCCTTAATCACATTTAAATCTGACAACTTTTTGTAATATGAAATCACAGATTGAAACTATAGACTTTCTTCAATCTACATAGACCATTATGAAGATTGACTATCAAGTTACTCTTTCTTAAGAATCAATCTTGCACATCTTTAAATGTTACACCAAAATGTCTCAGTACATCACCCAAGTCACTTTAGTGAAAATATGCACTCGGAATAACAGCATGATACTATACTGTAACATGCCTGTATAGCAGATGTAATATTTCTGTAACTAAATTCAATTCACTGAAAACTCACTATGTGTATAAACCAGCAGAAAGCAAGGAGAGTTTGAAGCATATTCAAGCACAGTAGACTACACATAGCTTACACACTTTGGGACTGGAAAATTTGTGAAAGTCGCACAAAGATTCAAGTTCAGCAATGTTTATTTCCAATTAATACCAAAGAAAGATATCAGTTTTATAAGATTGTAAGAGATGAAAGATAATTCTCATTATAAGGTGACAAGTTATGTTAAGTCTACTGTATTTCTGACTATACAGCTTGTTTAAGAGTTGTGCTTCTAGTTTGTAAAAAGCTATGGCCAGATTGATGAAATAAAATTGTAGAATATCTTACCGGCAAGCTCCAGAAAAAAATGTTTTTGCTGTTAGCAGATATTTCTATTGCAAGCCAGTTTAGAATCTTTTTGTGGCAGTTTCAGTTGGTTGCAATTGCTAGTTTCATTTGGTTTTGCAGTTTGTGCATTTTAAGTGTTTGTTTTATCTCCTGGTACTGATAACAGCTTGTAGTGACAGACAAGCAAACATTCTTCATAGTCAGTGAGTCTTTAAAAAAGCTGACTCTCTGCAATGCGGAATGTTTTATAATTTAATGATTAATATGTCTGTCTATTAATTAATTAATTAATTGAAAGTTTTATACATTTATTCATCTATTAACATATAATCATTTGAAGAGGCGGGAATTAAAGATGGAAAGAGACAAACAGTGGGAAGGCTGAGGGGGGGAATGAGAGGTGTGTTTTATTGATGTCATTAACTAAATTTTAGCTGTTATTGTACCAGAAGAGGCCCAGCTTTTTGTTTGGGTGTGGCATTTGTTATCTTTTGCATGGTGTGTCATTACTTTCCAGCCTCTGCTGCTACAGTTACTGTTACTGCTGGTGTGAATGTTGTGGATACTGATAGTAGCGATAACAGTGACAACTCTGAGTCAGAGACAAACGGGGATTTTAATAAGGATGATGTCACAGACGGTGACAGTGCCGAGGTGGCTTTTGTAAAAGGTAAGGCCAGGTGAAAAGA